TGGTACATACTGCAGTACATACTGATGAGTCCATAGTTACCTCAATGTTACTCCTCTTAGCAGGACTATTAATACCAGGACTGGTACATACTAATGTACAGTCCAACTTCCTCTTACAAGTAATCCTATTCACTGATGAACCTATCACATTATTTAACTCTTGAAACTCCTAGAGGGGGAGAGGGAGGGAGAGAGTTTAAAAGCAGTAATTATACAAACACTTTAATAACTAACTGATGCTGGACTTTTACTGACTACAAAAGTTTTAGCAAGTGGAGATAAAGCAGATTGACTATCTGGAGAGAAGAGAAAAAAAAAACAACAACAACAACAATGATAACAATAATAATAATAATAATAATAATAATAATGATAATAATGATTTTTTTGACACAGAAAAGAAGCTTCAGCATGTAAAAACTTAGTGAATGTTTTGAGACAGTGAATTTTTTGTTTTTTAGACAGAGAAGAAGCTCCAGCATGCTTGCTGCACTGCATGCTGCAGCAATGTAAAGGTGTGGCTCAATCAAGCCATGCTCCACCCGCACACACAGTAATGGTGGCACATGGCTCTAAGTGGTGAAGAAAGCTTTAGTTTTTCTTGACTTTTAAACAGTTTAGCATACATTTGTTAGGCTCTATTTGTTGCATACAAACGTCTATTGAGCCCCTGATGTTTAAAGACTCTGGCCGCTACTTCGGAAGAAGAGAGCCTCGTGTAAACTCACAAAAGTATGAATTTTTGGGCTACCATATCTTTAAAACGAAGATGATTAGAGCAATTCCTCTCATATTAATGAAAGATGAGGCTTTGCTTTATTGTTTTATCTGCCCAGTTGCTCTTTTGCTCACACTATGAAAACGTTGTCGGGGAACCGACCCAGGCTACGTTTGGCGACTTTGCCAGCTTCTTACTCCACGGAAAAGAAAAGTATAGCATTCCCAAGACGGAGAATAACTTTTTCTAGAGCCAGTGTTGATTATAAGACTCTCCAGGACTAGACAAGAAAGCAGTGTCAGCTCAAAAGTGGAGGCCAAGCGAACACACACACACACACACACAGACAGGACGACTGCTTTACCCTCGCTTCCACGCCTACGCGTGGGCTCGGGTAATGACAACTAGGGACACGCACATTATTCGGGAATTTCTTTTGGAATAATGGGTGTGAAATTTAGAGAAAGAATAATGGGTTAAAATTTGCCTGCCTGGATCATGTGATCAATATTTAACCCTTTCAATACTGCATGAGCATGTGTCAGCACTCAGCATTCAGCAAACAGTACAGTACAATTTAACAGCACTTTACAGCAACAGCAATGAGTAACTCCACTGGAAATAATACTGAACAGATTTTAGGACACTCAAAGTAATTCACTTGAGGATTACATTGAATCATCAGTAGTGTTACAGTATAACCATGAATGATGATATTAATAATCAAAATGAATTTTTGGTATTATCAGAGCATAATAATGGGAATAATGGGCCAAAAAGGAGAGAATAATGGGATTGAGGAAGAGAATTGAAGAATAGAATTATAGGGTTGAAAAAAAGAATAATGTGCATGTCCCTAATGACAACCCAACTGCTTAGTACCCGCCTACGCAAGCGTGGCAAGTCCAATAATCATTGAAGTTTTGTGTGATCATGACCATACATGTAATACATGTACAGTTAGAGTTACCTAATAATGAGACTCCCTTTGTTCTCTAGTAATATCCTGTCACTGTTGAACATTTTCATCAATTCAACCAGAAACAATTTAAAATATTTATTCAAAATAATAATGGCTGTACTCTATTATCTATGTATTATTTTAACAATAATAATAAGCCACACCTACTCTACAGGAACATCAAATATAATGGAGATTAATGCTTTAGTGAAATTCTCTAACAAGGCAAATTCCTCATTGAGAATGACTGTTCCTCCTCTCCTGGAGGATACTCTTAAAGATCAAAAGAAGACATTGATTGATAGACACAGAAAAGAACAACCACACAAACCACTACCAATAGTGGAGTTTAGTCATTATACATATACATAAGCTATATTGTTGGTTAGTTTTATTAGAGCATTGTAGACTGTAGTGTAGATAATCCTTTTTTGTAGTGTAGGTGATCTTTTTAAATATTTTAATAAATAAAAAGAAAAAGAGAGGTAAATAATAATATTTATTTATTTAATCCATTATTATTATTATTATTATTATTAAGTTGTTGTTGTTTGTGATGTAGTATTGATTTTGATGATAAAAGATTATGAACCCCTCTACCTCTCTATAAAAATAAATAAACAATAAATTAATAAAAATAATAATAATAATAGAAAAGATGTGTTCATTACAATAACAACATTACATTCATGTACATGTAACTACATGTTCCTATGCTGCAGGCTCATAATGATACCATTCATAAACAAACACTGGAGGATACTACTACACATTGAGAATATTAACAAGTACTTAAAGTGTCCAGTGGTACATACTGCAGTACATACTGATGAGTCCATAGTTACCTCAATGTTACTCCTCTTAGCAGGACTATTAATACCAGGACTGGTACATACTAATGTACAGTCCAACTTCCTCTTACAAGTAATCCTATTCACTGATGAACCTATCACATTATTTAACTCTTGAAACTCCTAGAGGGGGAGAGAGAGACGGTGGGAGGGAGAGAGGGAGGGAGGGAGAGAGAGAGAGAGATATTAAAAGCAGTAATTATACAAACACTTTAATAACTAACTGATGCTGGACTTTTACTGACTACAAAAGTTTTAGCAAGTGGAGATAAAGCAGATTGACTATCTGGAGAGAAGAGAAAAGAACAACAATGATAATAATAATAATAATACTGAGAAAATGAACTACATGTGTACATGTACATGTACATCACTATAAAGCAAATGGTAGAAAATTTTGTCAATCGCCAATCCACCCACAATAAGATTAGCTAGTTATTAATAGTTATTAAATAGTTATTAATAGTTATATTGGTAGTTATTAATATAATATTCTTACTCTCTTTGGTAGCTTGTCGTGTAACCATAGCAACCAGCAAAGCGTCTCCAGTTTAGTTTCTTGTTCAGTGAAGCTCATATGAGGCATGAGGACACCAAGCACAGTCAATCATAGATATTAGAGTTAAAAGGGATTGGAAACAGCTCACGTGATCCCATAGCAATGAATGGAGAATGTGCGTCGCAATCCGTGTCCAAAGAATTCAATTAATTTTTATTACCTTGAGGATCAACCAAAGGATTTTATCTAGGTTTATTTGCAAGATAGTTTGTAACTGAGGTAGCTCTTGTCATTAATAATGTTGTATACTGATATGACTATTTATAGAAATTTTAAAAATACATAATTACACCTGCAATCCATGTATAAATTGACTATTTTTAGTGATAACTAACATAAAAACAGTTTTGTACCTATAACTCACCAACAAAGGATAAACAGTGAAAGCCTATAGCATACCAGGCAACTGTAAGTAGACCTGCATGCCAATAGCACACTTTCAAATCTTATTCAATACTCCTGTAGTAGTAATGGAAACTTTCAGAGAAAATTTATCGTCTTCTTTTGTACCTCTACCAGCAGTACCGAAGATCCTACGGTAACAATTATTGCTACAGTGATTACTGAAGTGCTACTTTAGTGCAATGACTTATAATTTTACTTGTATGTTGTTCTTTATATATAGATCATGGGACAAAAAGTAAAATTTAGACATTTATAAACAAAATTCTTTAAAAATATAATAATTTATTCCTATAAAAGATGCTGTCTATATTTCTGCTTTAGAATATACAGAACAAAATAATTTTGAAGATAAGTTCATGTTAATTTCTAAAATGTGGCTGTCAACTGTCACATGCATGTGCATCAGTGCCGGAGCAAACCATAAGGCACTACATGATTGATTTTCATGCAGAAGAACTCTAGTCTTTATTGTTGTTCCACTTTGCCTTTATAAGAGGAAACTCTTTTGATATTTAGTAACCTTTTAACTACCACCAGGAGCACTGGAAGAGGCTTGCTGAATTCACAGAGCTATCTGGAGCCAGTACTGCATACGGACACGGAGTGAAACAGGAAAGCGTGGGCGTTTCCAATCCCTTTTAACTCTAATATCTATGAGTCAATAAACTGAACTTAACCACACCCACCTCTCCTGTATCAGGTCCCTCAGCATTAGAACCAACCTCGTTAATACCAGTTTGAGTGGGCGGGATTGGTTGTGTGGGTGGGGCAGTTTGAGTAGGTGGGGCAGTTTGAGTATGCAGGGCAGTTTGAGTCGGTGGAGTCACTTTGGTGGGTGGGGCAACATTTGTAGACGTCTTTGAGGTTTTTGGTGAGGTGGTTTTACCGGACACAACTTGTTTCCTGATTCTCGTCGGAGATGATTTCGGGAATTGCGTGGGCGTGATGTTGATCCCTGGTGATCCGGTCATGAGATTAACTTGAATCTGATCAGTGAGATCAGTGTTAGTGTCATCATCGTCAGTTGGAAGGATCAACTCTTTCAGTTTTCTATTAACATTTGAGGCCACTCGTCTAATGTCTGTTGATAAAATACCATAAAAGTGGAATAGTTTACTGCCTTTATTATTTAATCTTTAAATTTTTACATGTTATTAGTTTTACAGTTTACATGTGAGCTACATGTACTTTTGCTTTTAATGTTACTTTTTTCTGTAATCATAAAATTAAAGT